GGGCTAGGCAAATAGCTGAGCAGATTAAAGTGCCTGCAAACAGGTGTAGGGGCCAGAGGTTTGATCCTGGCAGAGGTCAGGGGTTCAAACTACCCAGGGCTCATTGAGATGGCAATTAAGACTGGGCATGGTGGCACGTATCTGTAATCCCAGCTCTTGGGAGGCTGTAGACAGGTTGATCACTACGAGTCCAATCTAGTAGTGAGACCCTGAACACTCTGTAGACCCTTCCCTAAAATAAATAAATGAAAATAAAATTAACCATTGAAGATTTAGTGATTGAAACTATCATTTCTTTTCTTGTGCCTCACTATAGTAAGACAGGTACTGTAATAGGTATCTGTTACCATAGCCAAATACTTGAAATTATTCAATTAAAAAGAAGAAATTTTTATTATTTTTGCATTATAGCTTTTGTGGGCCAAGTCTCTACAAGGACTCGTAGTGATGCTCCTGTTTCCAGCCTCCCAAGTGCTGGGATTACAGGCATGCACCACTGTGCCCAACCTCAATCGCCTGTGTCCCAGGCATGGGGCCTACACCACACACCAGGGATGGAACACGAGTCCCTGTGCCTGTCTAAGCAGGTGCTTTAGTCCACTGAGTTATTTGGCCAGCCCTGATCACATTGGTCTTGGTCATGTAGGAAGGCAGGACATCATGGCAGGGAGCATATGGTAGGAAAGATGCTCACTTCATGGCTGCTAGGAAACAGTGCAAAAAGAAGAGAAAGGAGTAAGGTGCCACTGTCCCTCAGATTTACACTGTCTTGCCCCAGTGATCTCTCTTCTTTTTCACTAGGCTCCAACATTTCCCAATTGCACCATGGTATGGAGAGCAAAGCCTTGGCATATGGGCTTTTGGGAGACACAAATCCAAAACATAGCAGGAAGTATTAATCTATGATCTCATGAATATTGCTTTCTCTAGATACTAAACTTTCTATAAATTTCATTTGGGTAAACACACACAGAGAGACCTCTGAACTCTTCAATACTTACTGGTGATGTTTAGGTCTTTAATGAGAGCAATGATGAAGACACTTTTTTTTATTAGTTGAGTTTATGATAATTATTTCGACACTATGCACACTTTCACTCTGGCACTGACAAGGCAGTGGGTAGCAAGCTTGCAATGTTTTGTGCAGTTGTTTTTACCAAAGATGTAGAAGACTGAAGGATGTTTCAAAGAATCTTATGAGTAACTCTTTTGATGTATTATAGCATAAGGAAATAAATGATTGCATTGTGAAGTCCTTGGAGTTTGGACAGTAGTACGCTTCACATATGGATGACCCTACCACTGTTTCTCCAGCATGTTTTTGATGGATCATGATAATAGGAACTGATAATTTTGCCAGTCTGAACCCACTTTTTCTTTTATTAGCATGATTATGAGGAAATTTTAGATACATGTGGCTTACTTTCAGAGAAACTGTACACCAATTTAAAAGTTGGGCCGGGGCCAGTCTGATAGCTCAGCAGACTAAGGGTCATGCTTAGGCAGACGCAGCAGTCCTGCCCCTCAGGCACACTGGGACGACGATTGAGACTGGCATGGTGGTGTGCGCCTGTAATTCCAGCTTGGGAGGCTGAAAACAGGAACATCACTATGAGTCCGATCTCTGTAGTGAGACCCTGTACCCCCTGTACTAAATTCAAATAAAAAAAGAAAGGGACAGGGAGATAGCTCAGTAGAATAAGTGCCTGGCAAGCTCAGGGTCCTGAGTTCAATCCCTGGTACTGAAAAAAAGAGAAAGGAAGGAAGGAAAGAAAGGAAGGAAGGAAGGAAGGAAGGAAGGAAGGAAGAAAGAAAAGAAAGAAAGAAAGAAAGAAAGAAAGAAAGAAAGAAAGAAAGAAAGAAAGAAAGAAAGAAAGAAAGAGTTGGGCTGGAGATAGAGCTCAGCGATCTAAGTACCTGCCTGGCAAGCACAAGGACCAAGGTTTGATTCCGGTATCACATGCCATGCCAGGCTCCACACACCAACCACCAAAACCAGGCATGGTGGCACACGCCTGTAATCCCAGTGCTGAGGAGGCTGACACAGGAGGATCACTACTTGTCTGAGCTGTGTTGAGAGAACCTGCACCAAATAAATAAATAAATTTTAAAAACACACAGAATATACTTCATGCCTCAGAAAATCTAATATAAGATCTTTCTGAAAATTCTGCCAATGCTAGTCATGTTTTCAAACACAGAATGTTGAAATCTTCTGTGGATAATGGTTGTTTTTAGTTTTTTCTAAAAGTATTTCTGAATTTTTATGACTCATTGAGAGATTTAATTTGTTCTATATAAATTTTAATTTACAAAATTTTGAATTATGTAACAATGACCCAGTATCAATCAACAGTGATTATATTTGAGCATGTGAATATGTATAACTTCTAGATATCATATTTATCAGAAGTGAAACTTTAAACAAGTGAAAATTGTTTTTCTCTCTCTCTTTAAAATTCATGTTAGCGCCTGCTTAGGTGGATGCAAGGGATGGGAGTTGGTGCCAGCCCCACTCCCAGAGTGCTCTGAGACAGCATTTGAGACTGGACCTGGTGGCATGCATCTGTAGTCCCAGCACTTGGGAGGCTGAAAACAGGAGGATCACTATGAGTCCAATCTGTGTAGTGAACCCCTGTAGTCCTTGCACCAAAAAAAAAAAAAAAATCATGTTGTTAACCTCAACTGTACATTTCATATGAAAATAAGATTTCTTCCAGTAACTTGTTATCATACCTACAAGATTGCATTAATCAATTTATTTTATTGATTACAATGACTTGTTATTTATTTCCAAAAAAAGAATGAAAAGATTTAATTTTAATTTTAAAGAAGCAGTGACTAAAAGCAATCCCAAATGGAGGCTATAAAATACTCATTATTTTGTGTAAAAATTTAGACCATTTAGATGATATTTACAGTATTTAAATAATCTATTCATCACAGAGGCAAGAGGAGCTTTTGAGGGTTTCTAACAACTGGAAATTGGATGACCATGCTCCAAGCAGAAAGAGAGTTGACTAATTTTTGTTCAGTACACAGGTTTAACTTTTCCCTCCAAATATTATAATAATTAAGACTCATTAAAGGTTAATAATTTGTAATTGCATATTTTTATTTCAAAGGAACGATGACTAAAATGAATTTTTTTAGAATAAGTGCATCAGAAAGGAAACACATTGTAGTGTGCAGTTGAATTTCAGCTGTTAGAATCAAATTTAAGAAAATTTAAAATTTAATTTAAAACCCTGAATGAAATTTAAGAGAATTAAAGCCAGTAATTATGCTGTGGAACTTGGGCTATCAGCCACTCTGATTTGCTGTGCTTAGCATTTGGGGTGCTTAAGGATGACACCATGAATCACAGAGGGACCTGCGCTGCACTGCAGAGCAGTGAGAGTTCAAGGTGCCCTCCTGTACCCTAACTCCATCCTTCTTCCATTTTCCTTTGATTCCTCTCCACCCGGGGATCCCAGTTATTGAGATAGGTGATGGCAGACTTCAAAATCTCCTCTGGCCCTTCTGATGTCATGAATTCCCTTGATGGAATACCTTGAGATTTATTTTTTTGAGATAAAATCAAGAAAACGAAAATGGGCTTCAAACAATGATTCCTAGACCTCTAGAGTCCCATAATCTTCCAAGACGATGATGTGAAGACACCCAAGCCATGCTTTCCCCAGCCCTAATGATCCTGACAAGGCAGAGTATCAAAAAGGATGGTGTATAAACCCAGGCATTTCTCTAAAGCAATGTCTGTCCTGATAGTATTTAAACAAACTTATTTCTCAAATTCAAGTAAGAACTCGGGGTCCCCAGTGAGCTGGATCTGGCTCCCCGACCCAGGGCACGTGACAGAGCCTGCACCTATGGGGCATCGAGGGCCTGAGAACTAGAGAGCAGAGTGCCCATTCCTTCCAAGTGTCATGGTTCCAGGCCATTTTCCTCCCTTTCAGGCCCGGAAGGTGACAGGTCGAGCGCTGTCTGTAAGGGCTCACCTGGACAAAGGAGTCTCTTGGTGAGGGCCTTGGGGAGTCCCGGTGAAATGAGGGTTCCGAGCTTGTTCCAGCCTGTCCTCCTCTGCCTTTCATTGGTCCCTGCTCCCCCACCCCGTGTACAAGCAGAAAAAAGTTTTACCCCAATGAGCCCCGCGTTGACGTAGGCATCGCCTTCCCTCCCTGCTGGATAGAAGCCCAGAAGGGAGCGAATGGGGGAGATGCGGAGGTAGGGATCGCTTAGATTCCTGTGGTTAGTTAGGGTCCCGGGAGGGACGGCGCCAGGGCCAGCCAAGAGTCCTAATCCTAGACCCACAAATACATCAGGTTTCGCCCTCCCCTCTCAACCTTCTAAATCCCAATGAGGTCATAGCAATGAGAGAGAATCAGATCAAGAGAGAGGGGGAGGAAGAGGGCGACGAGGAGGGAGAAAAAACCCAGACGGAAAGAGGCCATCAGACAAGGTCGCTTTTTCTGGCGACACAGCAACTGCGAGGAGCGTGGTGCTGAATACCATCCGACCGCTCCGCCTGGGGCCGCAGGCTCGCGCGAGCACTTTGCGTTACCACGAAAACAAAGGCGAGAAGAAAGGGAGACGCAGAGGAAAGCTCCAAGCAAGCCCTTGGACCTTCGGGAAGCAAAGCTTATTCCAGCAAGGAAGGGAAGGGCATCTTACAGGTCTGAGAGCCTGAGGCGGGAGCTGGTTTCCCTGCGGAGATCGGGGACGCGGCAGAACTCTGGACAGCGCCTCGCGAGCGCAGCGCCAGCCCCGGGGCTCCCAGGTCGGGCTCCCTAACGCCCAGCTCCAGACTTGCTCTATCGGGACTCCCACCACCGAGCCCAGCAAGACTCTCTCCAGTCCTTGTGTGAACGAGCCAGGGGGTGGTGCAGCTCTTTCGCCTCTGGTCGGGGCCGGGGAAGAGGATATCTTGTTCTGGAAATCCAGTCGTGGATACATGTTTTGCTGGTGAAGAAAGAAAAGTTTTGGAATCTGGTAGGGGGTGTAAGGGATAAGGAGGACTGTGGAAGAAAGAAGGTGGATGGTTGGATTCCCTCTCTGATCTGGAAGGAATGATGACCCAGGAAGGATGTGCACCAGCGGCCAGATTATTGGGAGCCTCTTGGTGCTCTCTGTGCTGGAGATAGGGCTGGGGGTGTCCAGCGTGGCCGTGGGGGCGGTCAGCTTCAGCCTGGCCCTCCGAGAGCACAAGCCTCAGCTCGGAGACTCGTCCCCGGTATGGAGCGGGGTGTGTGTACGTTGAGCCATTTCACTCTCTCTTTACCTCTTTATAGTGATGGTCAGTGTGCGTGCGTTAGTCACTCCCTCCCCGGGAAACAAAATCATGAATCTCCTCTGGTTTGCGTGTAGGCTTGTATTGGCAAGCTATGCTTCTTTATGTCGTCCTTTTTATTAGTTGGTTTTAACTCCCTTACCGGGGTTAAAACCAAATTAGATGGCTTTGTTTAAACTTGTGGTGAGGGGGCTTGATTTCCATTGGCGAATTCTGCAGAGGGCTGGCCAGTGTTCATGATTTGGGGTTGCCCCTGCCAGTGACAGACTCACTGAGTCTTTTGTTCCCTTTAGGAGAAAACTCAAGATGAAAGTGTTACAACCTTATCATGTCTGAGGGTCAAGAAGGGACTGTTAATTTTGCATTTATCTTTGGGCAAGAGTGCCCAAGGTACCCCAAAGGCAGCAAGAGTGCCCAAGGTAGGACAAAAGGAAAAATGTAGTGTTGCTGTGAAGGGAAGCCAAGTGCACATGATCCCAGCAAGCACTGGTGCTAATTTTCCCTTGCTTGCTTCATGGTACTATACTTCTGAAAACTCTTTAATAAGTTCTAGGCCATAAGTTAAGCAAGCAATAATGGTAAGAAATGCAACATCCTAATGGGTGAATAAGTCAATTAAAGAGCATTTAATTGCTCAGGAAAAAGTGTCATGATTTTCTCTCTAGAGTAACTGACTCAACAAGCTTCTTGTGTAGTGGCTTAAGGTGAATCTCAAGGAAAGTCTCACTGGTCCACTCTTTTCACCAAAGATAAATGAAGCAGCTCAGATTCCTGGTGTGAACCTAATTGTGAAACACAGCTTGCTACCCTTCCTCAAATTACACAGCTGTCATATACTTCTGAGTTTTTAATTTGATTCTATTCAAGAAATTTGTTGAGATACTCTATTATTGATAATCCATCATGCTTTATTAACAGCTGCAACTTCGTTACCTGAGCTTAAGTCACTAAGCAAAAATGATCATTTAGGAGGACATGTATAACTGTTCCAAAGTAATTCATTTTGGGGAGGTCCTCTGTCATGTTTCCACCATGATAAAATTATGTTTTGTATGATTAGCTTTTATACTTTAATTTTTTCAGTCTAAATAAACCTCCTAGAAGAGCAAACCTTAAAACTTTTTTTTAAAATCATGTTTAATTTTCCAATTGTATTCCTCTAAGAACCCTTGTTCTACATTCAGCAAGTTACTGTGGATCTTCAAATAATTACCTTTTCTTAACTATTTAAAAATTTCCACCATATATATTAAATTTCAGTTTGAAAGGATAAAAAGCACTTCACAGATCTAATAATTCTATATCTTATGTGTGGCTATTTTGAGAGTTCCAAGCTTGACTCTTTAAGTCACTCTCCACCCAGCATGCATAAAACAATGTGAATAAATCCAAATTGCCTCTGAGTAACAGCAAATTGTCCATCTCAAATTCAAAAATTTTAAGGCATGACATTGTCATAGTATCATGTAAAATAATAATTAAATAATTTTTCTCTCTTCCCAGACTAGTCGATATTATCTAGGTGAGTCAATATATGTGTACATGCAAAATTGAAAGATTTGAATCAGCTCAGGGAAAGGCAAGTAAAACCTACCTATATACAGTCACCGTTGTAAAGAATTATTTCTATTTTTAACTGGTTGTTGTGAGTATGCAAAATTCACCTGGGTTCCTAGATGGAATTCTATTGTCCGGATTCAGTGAAACCAAATAGTGCATTTGCATGAGTGAATGAGCTTGAACATTTTATAAGATCAACCCGAAAGATTGGATTTGTGAAGACACAAATACTCATTTAAGATCATTGTGTTTATCAAATCACAGGTTGGCTATCTAGATTCTTTAACTTGTTTTTCTTTAAATCAGTTGTGATTCAGTCTAAACTATCTCCTAGTTCCTTCACTGATAAATTCATATAATCGATATCCATAGACAACTTTGCACATGAGAGGAATTTTACTGTTTATTATAAGGTTATGAAGATGAATCAGAATACTGCCTTCAAAGGGACATTGACTGGTTGGTTATAAAAAAAACAAGATGGGTACATCACTGGTTTTGTAGCAGTAAGAAGTTAAGAGTGTGATCTCAAGAGAGATATAGAGCAAAAATAGCAAAGAAAAGTTGGCATGATCAGTGAAATACCCATGAAAGAAGTATGGTTTTTACTCTTGTTATTGAAAGTTTATGGAGACATGCTATCAATATATCATGGTGTTCATGTACCACAGAGTAAAATCTGAAGTCAGACTACCTGCTTGCAAATCCCAGACCTGGCCACATCCTCTCTGGGTGACTAGCCAAAGTTTCTTTGCCTGTAAAATGGGTATGTTGCAAGGCATTAATTAAATAATGCTGTCAGTGAAGAGTGTGACACAAAGTGAACAAGGAGAAAAGGGAAAGCCTTTCAGGAGTCCTGGCTGAAGCTAAAGAAACGGGTGACATGGGTTATGTTCAAAGAAAAGGAGGTTCTTATGATTTCTCTGAAGCTTTGGTGTGAAAGCCCACCAAAGACAGACAGAGCGATTAAAGCCAAATCATAGGAAGCTGTGTGCCTGTCTGTGGCAACAGATTTGTTCCCTCATATTTTATAATAATGATGACAATAACAACACATTCTTACTTCCTAAAGAGATTCAAAGAAAATGCATTGGAGATCTAGATAAAATTACTCTCTTTAGTAAACTTTGAAGTTAAATATATATATATATATATATATATATATATATAATTTATGCAAATATACCCAATAAAAACTCACAATAATTGACCTGACACAATACACATAGCCTATAATCAGGCTGTATTTTGACAAGTACCATGGAGCTTTTTAAAACCATTAATATAATAACTAATAGACTTCTCAATTAAATCTAAAAATCAGTGGAAATAAAAGCTACGGTAAGACAGGTATCTTCTACAGAGAAAGTCAGAAAGCTTTTTATCTGGGGAAGATGCATCAAGGCTTTGAGAAGTTACATTGATTATTTAACTTAAATGTGACTATTTGACATAAACTATTTAAATGCATGTGATGGATACTTACATAGATTATTTCCAGTCACTATTTCATAATCAGACAAGGTTTTCTGGTAATTAGCCCAAAACATTGGGTGATTAAAGACAAAAGCATTTGTCTCTAATTTCATAAAGGAATAAAACTCATATATTGCTTTATAGCATTTTTGTTTTTCTTGATTCCTTGTGATAGCTGATTTGGTCAAAATAAAATCACAAAACCAGAAAGCATCATTGTTAGATGCCAATGAATGAATCATTGAGGAAACTGCTTTGGAGAACAATGCCTTGTGAAATATAATCAATATGCAAGATTTATTCATAGAATAAAATAAAAACTTGGTTGTTTCCAAGTTACTGTGTGAAAGTCACTTCCTCAGATCCAGAATATAGTGTACAACGGGAATGGGCTGGATTTGGTCGTATAGGATCCATGAATTCCTGAGAATTTCATATTGTTGCTTTATGTTCTTATTTTAAAATGTAAAGATTCAGTGGATGCTTCCAAGAACAAAGTTCTACTTAACATATATCATGCTATAACTCCATCCATTTATATCAGAAAATCATCTTGTATATTTTAATTTATTGATAGAACTTTTCAAAGTCTAAATTTCTCACATGTAAACAAAAAGGTACTCTTTTTAGTAATTTAAATTTTTCCTTATCTAATTACTTAAAGTTTGTACAGTTGTATTGCTTATATTTAAGGAGTGTAGTTGGTTTGTATATCATAACATCTATTTACTAAATATCATGGTTTGCTTTGGTGAAACTTACGGCATAATTGGTGCACATCCTATTCTGTAGACTCGAATTTCACCATGGCAACAACTCAGCCAGTTGTAAGACTTGAAACTCACTTCTGTGTATTCTTATCCATAACACTGTAGCACAAATAAGGAGCTGTATATAAAGTATAGCTGCTGGTAGATATTATTTTCATGTTTAAATATTAAATGTAATGTTTAAATAATGCAAGGAAAGAAAGCTGTGATTTTATGACACTTTTGTTGCTCATGACTTAATGCTTAAATTTCACATGTAGGCTGGTTGTGGTGGCGTGTGTCTGTAATCCCAGCACTCAAGAGGGTGAGGCAGGAAGACCATTGTGAGTTCAAGGCCAGTCTGAGTCACAAAGTGAGTTCAAGGCCAGCCTAAACTTCAAAATGAAGCCCTTTCTCAATAAATAGATAAACAGTTTAAATTAAAAACAAGCAAAATAATAAATTGAAAGAGATTCTGCACTTACTTTAAACATGCACAACTTGCAGACAACATCTCTGTCTAGATAGAATATCATTTTTTACGAAGCTGAAAAGTGTGAGATTCATATTTTTTAGCACAAGATGTAAATTCTGCTTCTTTCTAAAGAAAATTATGTATGTATGTGTCTCTATCCTCTTTTAAAATTTGTTTCAATTTTAAAAGTAATTTGTAGAGTTACTCATCCAACTTTTTGTAAAATAATTAAAACTAAAGTCCATTTCCATACACTCATCAACACTAGTCATCACTATCTTGTTATACTATCAGAGATATTCCTTTATGCATTAACTATCTTTTGAGGGCCATGTAGCTCAATATTTATCAGGTTTCTGAATGTAATAGGCCATTCATGAATTCTCCATCACCCAAGTCGTATGCTGCATGATTCATCTTCGCATTTATGGTCCAGTGCTACTGATTATCTATTAAGCTTCTTGGGCAATTAAGTAAGTTAAAGAGACTAAGCTATATTTATTAGTCAAGAAATATGGTTATTTTTTAAGAAAACATATCATGTGTCAAAAGAATAAATGTTTATTTCATGTATTGATTTATGTTAAGTGTAAGAAAAATTGGCTTTTTTGCCATTATTTGATGAGATTTTCTTAGACTAAGCCACATGAAAGTAGTATATGTTGGGATTTTTTATGTAGTCT